TAAATAGTTCCAAGCCTTTTAACCCAAAGGCTCAACCATAAACCATCAGGTCATTTAAAAAGTGGCTTTAAATTCCTTTGCTCTGACATTGGGCTGTAGCTGTGACCTGTAGATCTGTAGGTCACAGTTGCCAGAAAATATAAAATGAGGCTTTTCGTTTGTGTACAGTATGCATTCCAATGCATTAGAGTATATGAATTAATCCAATTCCAGTGAATGAAAGTATAAGCTAATGAAATAGTAACATAAGTTCTTACCTCTGAGGAAGGTCAGAAAAAGAAAAATCCATAGGTAAAAACCATAAGCTAGAAACCTCAGACAGTTCCCCAAAAGCATTGTATTAGCAATACAGGGCTAGGGAGGTGTAGTCAATGCAATTCACACACTGAACTGATGTCGATTCAACACTGAATCGTTGAGCTGTTGTCCAAATAAGGCATCTTCACCCAAAAAGCAGCAAGAACAGTAAAACATTGTTACCCCCACAGGTGACATAAACTTCCAGCTGTTGCTACATTCCTGTAGTCTTGTGTAAATCTTTCTAGGTACCACTAGATTTTCCTTTCCTCTATACAGGCAGAGATAAGAGGAAGAAAATCAGCCAAGGGGATAAAGGGAGCCAATAGATATTGTTCAGTGGATAAAGAGGGATGTCAGTTCTTTGCTGTGTGTGTGTGTGTGTGTGTGTACGGAACGTGCTGCATTTGGAAGACTAGAGAGAGTAAAGGATGCTCAGCTCGGAAGCACAAAGCAGCTTATACACCTAGGAGATCTGCTTTCTACTTTCACTTAGTCATCAGATGGGTCAGCAGTGTTACTAGCACACATTCTATACAGCCAATGCTAGCATGAACAGGTTATTTCATGGCAAGGGGCTCACATTCTCTTAGGGTTACTTCCTTCAAATGCTGGATATAGTTTATGTTGCATAAATATCTTGTATAATCAATGATGCATGATTTTATTTCAACTTCCTTTATTAGGTCCTGAAACTTCCTTAAATAAAAAGTCGACTGGAAGTAACCATAATAACCTACTGAAGGGAGATGCTGACAACTATTTGTTTTCAAAGGAGAAGCATATGCTTTATTAAAGATAAACTCCCAGCAGAATAAAATGTAACCCTTGCTGTGGGACTACCCCGCACTGCAAGGGTTATGTGCTTGTTTTCATCTAGAGTCTAAAATAACAAAGATATACTCACCTGAACTTCAGTCCCGCCTAGCTGCTAGACCGGTCCTTGCATCCTTTTTCTCCCTACACCCTGGCAATGGAATGTCCCTCGGCGTCCTCACGTCTGAAGGTGGCCATACATCTATAGATTTTCAATCAGAAATGTTTGTTGCTGCCAAGAACCCTCTTTCGATTCTAGTTCAAATACCCCATCGTGCACAGACCAATGTCGATTTCGATAATCATACTAACTCACCAAATTTCATCGATCGACAGAACGGATTTTCGTTTACACGTGTGCAGTGTTCTTGCTGCAATTTTTTTTGTAAAAAAACGCCACTAATCCATCGATTTTTGTTTGTGTCGAAAAAAGTTTTCTAGGCTCAACCTTCAAGAAAATTCGGCCAGGAATACAGTAAAAAAAATCATTGGGTACCCATCAACTGTTCAATTATCGTTCAAAAGACCATTTGTGGCTGATTTCCGAATGATAATTGATAGGGGGTCTATTCACTAAGCTGCCGAGGGATCTAGCTGTAGCTTCGGCCGATCCTTCGGCTAGCTTCGGCCCCAGGACCCCTTCGGTTCAGTAGAACCAAAGGGGTGGTGTATGGGCTATTTACTATAGCTGTACAGCTTCCGAACTTGGCCGAGCGGCTCAGTCGAGTCGAACGCATATGCCTCCGCTCAGCTGAAAGCCTCGCTGAAAGCCGAAGCTTGCCGAGCGGCCGGCCATTGGCCGGCCGACAGCCTGCTTCTGACAGCTGGGCGCAGCCAGCTGTGATCTTACGGCTGGCTTCGGCCACTTGCAGAGAGATCAGCGTCCCTGGTTACCTGCTAACCAGGGACACTGATCTCCAAAGGCAAACTCTCCCTGGCACTCCGGGAGTCTCCTGCTCCCGGCCGCCAAGGAGAGAAACACTGCTTTTTCTTTTTTATTCTGACACGGAGCTGTGTCAGAATAGAAAAAAAAATGTGCCCATTGGAATGCATTGCTAGATTCCTATTGGCTATTTCAATTTGCAATAGCCAATAGTAAACTAGCATTGTACCCGCCCTCTGCTGATGGACCTGATGGAGAACTGCAGCAGAGGGCGGGGACAATGCTAGTTTACTATTGGCTATTGCAAATTGAAATAGCCAATAGGAATCTAGCAATGCAATCCAATGCGCATAAACATTTTATTTATTTTTTCTATTCTGACACGGCTCCGTGTCAGAATAAAGAAAAAAAAAGAAAAATCAGTGTTTCTCTCCTGGGCGGCCAAAAGCGGGAGGCTCCCAGAGTGCCCGGGAGAGGTTTTTTTCCCACGTTTTTTTTTACGGCAGCAGAACCGCCGGACAATAGAAAACTGTTGGGCGGAGCTAGCTGTCACTGCTAGCTCCGCACAATCATTTTCTATTTACTTTTTTTTTACTATTTTTCTGTTCTGCTCAGTCCCTCTGACTCACTGCTGTTCTGCATCTATAAGAATAGGCCGAACAGCATTGAGTAGCATGCCGGAGGTTCGGCTCAGCCGATCCAGATGTTGGATCGGCTGAGTCAAACTCCTTCTGCACTTCGGGTCAGCCGAACATGCTGAGCATGTTCGGCCGACCCAAAGCTATGCAAAGCAAGCCGATGTACGGCTGATGTCAGCCGATATACAGCTGACATCAGCCGTACCAGCCTGAAGTGAATAGGCTCACTTCACTTCAGGTCGGTCATTCACTCGACTGCCTATGGCAGCTTAGTGAATAGACCATTAGGTGTATGGACACCTGCAGTGTATGACTCACAGATCCTTAGACCACCAGAGAAGAGGGGAAGAGAGGTGTCTAGCCCGGTCCCTGCAGCCTCTCTCCCCCTCCGCTCTGGCAGTTTAATGATCTTTGAGTCTTCACGCCTAATACACAGAATTAGACATGAGGACAGCAAGGGATATGCCATCACTGGTGCGGAGAGGGAGAAAAGCTGCTGGGGGGTCCAGACTGGGGTTCAGGTGAGTATATATCTTACCGGAAACAAGATGAAAGCACTGACAAGGTAGAAGCACAGCGCTGGAGGGTAAGTCTGCCATAATGTGCTAATATGCTGTGCAAACCAGCACATTATGGCTAAAAGCTCCTGGGCCCCCCTTTTTTTAAATAGATGCTTTACTTAAGTTGGGTATCGTTTTACTCGTTGTAACCTCATCTTTTATATGTAATTTAAAAAATTGGTATTTTGTTGTGTTTTTGGGCATTAAATTACATTTTCCACTAAATGTTGGGGTTTAATAAGGAGTTGCGCCAATATTGCGCAACATAAAAATTTGCAACTACCACCATTTTATTCTATAGGGTCTTGGCATTCAGAAAATATATAATGTTGGGGGGTTTTAAGTCATTTTCAGGCCTAAAATGTGGAATATAACATGGGTGCAAAAAATGAAAAAAGGGCCTCAGTCATGAAGGGGTTAAGGGAGGATTCTTTATATACAGTGTCTGCTTTTAGGGTGTGCATAGCCCTGACCTCATGCTAAGGCTAAATTCCAGGCAGATGGAAAAACAATTATTACAGATACAAGAATTTTGTTTTAATAAAGCTTCCAGTGTCCCCTGTTTTATAAAAGTAAATCAGCCAAAAAAAGCATATCAAAAAAACTAAAAAGCCCCCAAAAATTGTACTCTCATTGGAAAATGTATTGTATATAATAAAGCCAATAATATTAAACGTGCACATAAAGTATCCCATTCCAGTATACTGTCTAAAGAAAAATAAAATAATGCAGCTCAGTATTCATTATCACAGCATTCTGGACCCCTTTAGAAGTATGCATGGTAGCAATGCATGGTAAAACTTTGTAGCACCTCACATAGTACAGTAGGTGCCAATGGACCTACAAAATGCTGCAGGTACAGCATTTCATAGCTGTTCCTTCAAAATTATTGGACTGCCTTAAAAGAGAACTATGGCCCAACCCTTTATGGTCATAGTTCTCTTTAGGGTCATAGGAGGACATTTACTAATGTCCTCCCATGACCCAAATCTCAGCACATAACGGGCTATTTCCCACTCTATGCTGACAGCTCAGAACCGTGCCACAGCCGGAATCCACTCCGGTACGTGATTGACAGCTGGCTCTGCCACTCTAGAGCCAGCTGTGGCCGCCGCCTCCCCATCTGTCCCTCCAGTCAGCGCTGAGGGAGGGGTGAATCCCTGTGGCAAGCAATGACTGCTTGCTGCTGTGTCTCACGTTTGCTCTAATTATGGGGATGAGTGTATTTCACTCTTCCCATAATTCTCCTCTAGGAAAATTAATTCTAACGTGAAACACCACACATTAACAAGTGTGCAGTATTGCAACTGATCCAACAGCAAAGGTCTGAATATATTTTAAAATTCTATCAGTCCAAGTACCTGAATACCAGAGATCAGACTGAGATAGCGAGCGCATTGCGGAACCTGGCCTTGGGGCAGCAGAGAGAGTAAATCCCGCTCTGCTGGTTACACTCCGGACCGGATTTACTCTCCCTGCTGCCCCAAGGCCAGGTTCCGCAATGCGCCCCCCAGATAGCGGGGGTGGCAGGGTCGGTTTGAATTGTTT